ATTTGCTCAGTTAAACTACCGGCAAAATATAAAGTGAAAAATAAACGGCAGTAACCTTTTGTTATGTATGGCAACTGAGATTATCCATAACCTTTAGCTTCCACTTAGCAGATGTTTTTGTAGACAACAGTTCTTCTTAATTTAACTGTTTATATTTGATCACCGTAACGACAAATTTTATTCCACCCGATTATTACCTACCTACCCGTCAACAACATTTTTCACTAAACATTGTTGCCCTGCAAAATTTCCAGTAAAAATTCAACTGCCTAAAATTTAGTCAAACAATATAACCAGATTCTTTTCTACACCGTTTAATTTTGGTGCGTACAATAACTGTTTCAACGAAAAATGAAAAACCAGTATAGCCAATTATCAATGAATAGTTCATTAGAAAAATTGGTATTTCGTAACAATAAAACAATTTTTTTTACATATTATAAAGGCTAAAAATTTGTTCGCTTCTTGTGTCTTTGTTATGTAAGACAAAACTGATTAGACCAATAAAAAGAACAGCGATAAAAGCTGCGACAGCAACAATAACAGCGACTTATAAGATCAATAAAAGTCTAATAAAAGCCTAAAAATTTGTTTTAGACCTTTTTCCAACCATTATCCTCGTTTCCTTTACATTTTTTCTCTGTTACTTATTTATACCAAAGAGAACCAAGAAGAAGCAGGGGAAAAAAATTTCTGGTCATTTTTGGATATTCAAACAAAATTGTGAATAATCAAAGAATTAATACGATAAAAGTGGTAATATTCCATTTAAGTGCGTTGACCTTGGAGTTTTGAGAAGCAATTTTTTTTGTGTTCCGCCACAGCATTTGGCGTTAAAAGCAGATGTTCACCGACCGACACACTGTGTCCATCATTCTTCCTCCCTCGTCACCACTGTCGTTGCCTTACCATGCCATCAATCCTTTCCACTGGCCTCACAACCGTCACCTCTTCTCTATATCACTTTTGTCCGTATACAGTTGGTATCGTTGTTTTTGTTGCTGGGTGGTGGTCAGTGGATCACCCCATTATTGCTGTTGTTGTTGTTATTGTTGTATATCGCTTGTCAAGTCGTTCGGCAGACGAGAATTGTCGGATGGCGATCACTGACGCTTATTGCTCGGCTGTTCCACCAGAACCAATGTGAAAT